GGGGGTGGGGTTGGTGAATCAGTCATGGGAGTGGACTTTCCCGTGACGGTGAACATCACTTTGGCGGATCGGTTGTCGTAGGGGTGTTCCATGAACCTTTCGTTTTCTTTTTAAAAAAAATTGGAACATGGCAAATCGATGTTCGCATCTGTTAAAGCGATCATCTAATTGTGTTGATTGATATTGATCATGTCTACAACTTGTTGTCGCTTCCTTTTTATTCCGATTTCATTTGCATTCACGAATGTTATGGTAAGGGGGATGAAAAGGGGCCATGGATGCTTCCTTGAACCGATGGATGATGACAAAGTGAGGGATGTTCATACACGACATTGCGATTGCGAGAAGGAAAGAGGGCAATAGAAATGACAGACACAACGTTGTGCAATGGTTTTCTTTTATTCGTCGTCAAATAAGAAGACAAGCCACGCAACATAAATAATTGACATGATATGTTGTTAGATTGTTGTCACTCGTAGTAAAAGCAGAGGACGACACACTTTGCAAAAAAAAGGCCTTCATGGCATCTTCATTCCTAATATCCGGAAAATAGAACACCCCCCCCAGAATCGACTCCGACACCCAGACACGTCACACACGGTGACAGCATACTACACGACAACTACGATCGGCATTTGCATGCGTGTGACGTCGCCCCTGACACGTTGGACTGCGCCATCGCCAACAACCCGAGCCGCCGACACCGTCCTCACGGGTGTAGTACGAAAGAACACAAACAGAATTGTCGACACACGTCGCCTCATGCACGCCATCCCACAGCGAAACAGCCACCGGTCCATGAACTCCCTAGTTCCACAAAATGGGGCGACACACACAACGATGCCAATGGAGACGACCACCCCATCAAGGACAAGACATCGCCCGCGTCGTCCGCTTCTATTTCTCGCCTACTCCCCGCGTCGTGTGCTCCGATTTCTCGCCACAGCCACGTCATCGCAGCCGCCCGCTCCGCACGCCTGGCCGTGTTCACTGCGCGTCCATTCGCTCCGCCAGTGCGTCCCACATCATAAGCATACACATCGGCCTCAAGGGCTGCTGCATCCCAAGGTCCACCATGCGACGCACACCGTCCAGCCCGACCTCCCACAGTAGATTGTCGTCGAAGGGGATCCCCGCGTCAATGAGTAAGTTGTGCAGAATGCAGACGGCAACGAATTACTGCGGCAACATCTGGATGTTCGTCTTGTGGGAGCGAAGGAACAACCTCCACATCCCCTTTAGTCTGTCGAAAGCCCTCTCAACTGCTCCCCTCGCCGTCTTTTGCTTGTTGTCGAAGCGCAGCTCCGACGGGTGTTGTGAGAGACCACCATATGGGACAACTACCCATTTGGAGGGGGGATAACCGTTGTCACCCAGCAGATACC